GCTTTCTTTTGGCATTATCTTTAAAGAAAAATAGAGAGAGAGAGAGAGAGAGAGAGAGCGAGAGAGAGAGAGAAAGACAGAGAGAGAGAGAGAGAGAGAGAGCCCTGTACAGTCGAAACCTGCAATCCACTGGGCTCCTGAAACCAGGATCCTTGTTTATTGTGGTTTTCTTTGGGTTTGCTTTGAAGACAGCAATGCGTGAGACACCGTCGCATCTTTCATGCGTCTTCAGAACGAGTCAGTCAAACATTTCGGGTGTGGTAGAAGGGGACCGTCAACCCATTTTTTTGTTTTTTTTGTTTGGCTTCCCTTGAAAACCAGCCCAAAAGAGTCTACCTACTGTCCGACCCAGGTGAACACCGCGCGGATCAGACTGCCAGAGAGAACATGTTTATCCTCCCCACCACGGACAAAATCACACCGCTGAGAAAATACCATGCAAAGGAGATTGTTTTCTTTCCGAGATCCCTCACGTAGCACCCATTTGTTCTGGGGCTCCTGATTTGGAGTTGTTTGAACCCACCGATTTGCTGCCCCCCCGTTTTGAGGCAAACCCACACATCAACAGGAGCTTTCTCGTTTGTTGTTTGCTATTTTGCGGAAAACTCAACCTCACCCCCTGCTCCAGATACCCACTTGTGTTGGTGTGATGTCAAGCACTGACCACCAAAGATGAACAGCTCCAACAGATGCCCCTCCCTCAGAACTCCCTTGAAGACGGGAGATGACCTCAACCTTCTGGGGTGATCCCCCCTTTTGGCTATTTTACCAGGGATCGCAAAAAGGGATCAAACATGGATCGCAGCGTCTTATCTTCTTTTTTTTGGGGGGGAAGGGGTCCCTGCCAAAAAATAAAGGCCAGGAGCACCCCCCAAACGCCTCCGGGCGGCGGCATATTTTTGGTTGATTGAGGCGTGGCGGCCTTCGATGCCCACGCGAGCCGCTACGAGGCGCTCGGTACCCTCCGGAAGGGTTCAGAAAAGCCAAGTCTGGGGGTCCTCGTCGTGAAAATATGTGATATTTTGGGCTCATCTCTTCTCTACCTCAGAGCCGTTCGTTCAGAAGCTCCTCTCTCGTGGGAGGCTTTGGGGGCCTTTTCCTCGGTGGAGCTGCCGTTGCAGATCGATCCCTTGCCCGTGGATGTGTTTTCCTTCGAAAATTCGGCGTCCTTATCACAAAGGGGGGTTTGGTTTGCGCCCGATGTCACCATGCATTTCCTTGCGGGATCACTGATGTTGATAATATTGTATATTATCAGATTCTTGGCTTAAGACTGCTTTGGGGGGGGCATAAGATTCGGGCACCCCTTTTTCTGATCGGCTTGATGGGACATCAGCATACAAAACAATCTCGGGCTCCGCATCAAATTTTCGGGGGCGCCGACTTGCAAGCGCTGACGATGCAGTTGGCGTTGAATTTCTGGGGGCTTGGGGTTCGTGGGGTTGGCACTTTCCAAGAGTTTAGATGACCATTGCAAGGTTTCTCAATGTTTTTGTGACCCAGGGGAAACCACTAGAAACCAGAGGAGGCTCAATTCACGTTGTGAGGAGACCCCGGTTTGCTCGAAACCAAGGGAAACCAAAGGACCACCACAGTTGGGGATTCCCATATCCTTCGTGACAAACCATTTCATTTCTGAGGGTTTCCACCCCCAAGCAGTAGTCTTCCCGGAGAAAGATGGGTCACAGAACCGCCTTACAGCCACTGTATAAAGTACACATTTTCCCTTGGTGGTGGTCTGGGCCGGGTAGCGCAGTGGAATGATTCTTCGATTTGAGCTTCGGGGGGGAGCTCGAAGGAGTGCTCTCTTGTGAAGTTTTCTAGAGACCTTGAGGTTCGATGCGAGCGCTTCGATGTTGAACCCCAAGGGTCTCAGAACCTGAAATATTTTGGTGAGTGAGGGCAGGGTTGTTCCCTAAGGTTTGTCTCCAAGATACAGAAGCCAATTTGGGAAGCTCATTTTCAAAGTGGTTTCTGTTGTTTCAACCACAGGTTCATCACCCTGGGAACATCCCCAGATTCTTAGGTCTCCTGGACTTCCTGTTTCTTTGGAAGACCAGTTTTGGTCAAATTTTCTGGAAGACCATCTTTGGAAGACCATTTTTGTTGGCAACCCAAGAGTTCGGGGACTTTTTCTGGCCACTTCTCCCTCGGGGAGTGTGGTCTTGAGGCCTTCTTTGGGATGCCGCGGAACCTGCTGCTGCGGGTGCTCTCAGGCCAACGGGTCAGACATCGGACGGTGGACAGGTTCAATCCCCACCCCGGATGATCCATGGTTGTTTCATCAAGTTTTCGTAGTTTCCCTAGGTGGATCAATGGGACCCTTATCATTTCTGGGGTCTCCTCAGAAGATACATATGGGTGTGGCTCAAAATTAAGCAACCGGGGTTCCGCGAGTTTTAGTCTACCTGTCCATTTACCAGGGTTCCATTTTGGGCCCCCATTTTTGAGCCACACCCATATGCTTTAAGGTTGACAAAATACGGACCATAATCTGAACATTGTGTTTCTTGTACCTCAGATTTGGGGATTTAGTGCCCTTGTTAGCATTCCCCTCCTGAGTTGCCACTCCAGCTCCAGCAAGTAAGAGAGGGTGGTTTGTCCCGATTGTTTACCAGTTTGCCAGCGGTGTCTGCTTGGTTTCCTTGCACAAAAGGCGTGTTTTGCTTGCTCCTTGCGACCTTTGAGCCTTTTCATCGCGAGCTAGCAACAAGTTGTCCATTTGGAGGGGTTCTCAAAAGGATCGACCAACCCAGGAACGCCCTAAACCATTGTGGTTGCATAAGAGGGACCTCGAAATGAGTGGTTTTCCCTGGGTTTCCCTTCCAACCATCCAAAAAAGGGTACCACACAAAAGACACACCGCTCATGTAACTTAAATGATGTCCACCATGTCCAACCTAAACTTAGACTGTTTGATCAAGCTTGTTTGGGGTAGCGAATGATTTGCGTGCCGCAATGTGGGCACGCCTTGGTCATTGATCTCGTTCCAAGAAGGCAGCAAAGGCACCAAGTTCAGTGGGAACAGCGGCAAATCTTGGGCTTTGTGAATCTTTTGCCATGAGTTGTGGACGTCCATCATGGAAGCACACAAACAGTTTTGGGGTACTAACATCATTTGTAAAAGGTCTCATGTTCATTTGCATTCTTGAAAGGAGGATTGATTCGAGCAACCTCGAGGTGCCTGAAAGATTCAGGTCGGTTTCCTCTGTTGAAGAAAGGATTTCGCTTGTGGGGGGGGGGGCAGGGCGTCCCCTATAACAGGGTTCCCTACGCTTCCCTGTACCGCTAAACAAAAACTACAAATTCCAAGCTGATTTTGTTTTACCTATTTTTGTGCAGTACCCCCTATGTTGACACACCAGAAATCCCACAAAGTCTTTCTGGGCCCAAGATTTGGCCCATTCGCCAAAGCTAAAGCTGCTTTGGCCCCCATCCCTGCGTTTCTTTTTTTGTTTATTTATATTTTGTTCTTTTCTTGAGGAGTCATATTTGCGCCCAAAGCCTTGTAGGGTGAGCTAAAAAAGAGACGCCCCCACAGGAACCCCCCCACCCCCAACCCCCCACTGCGCCCCCGGCAGCCCCCAACCCCCCCCCCCAGCAGCCCCTTCGGAGGCATCGTGCTGCCGCCGGGCTGCGAGGCCTCGCTGATGGCCTCCGCCTTCGACGTGAAGCGCCAGCTGCCGCAGCAGGCGAGCCCGGGGTTTAGAGTGTCGTGTGGGGGGCTCTCCTTGGAACTTCTGCTCGTTCCTGGCTTCCAGATCACCCCGTCGGCAACATGGACCAAGGGCAATCAAGAAGCTATGGTTGCCTCACCAACAGGTGGATGGGCCACCATGTTGGGTCCTGAAGTGCGAAGTGGTAGATATTCCGTCAGTGTGAGGCTTGGTCCAGTCACAGACCCTGGCGACATGGAGACTGACTACTTTATTGGCATCTTGCCTGTGAACGAGCTAACGGCTGCCACGAGGGCAAAGCAAGGTTCTTACGTGCCGTTCCTCACAGAAGAAGGAGTTGCTCTCAGCCTGTCTGCTGGGAAAATGTGTTCGGGGCAATGGAGCTTTCTTGAAGGAGGCAAGCGACAAACGCGTTCCTGGAATGACGGCGGTAGCGGCGCAGTGGGGAGGGGTGAAGTGCTGCACTTTGAGATAGACCTGGACACGCAAAGTGTGGCGTGCTACAAAGGCCACCAGTCAACCGCGCTACCGATATCAATCAAAATGCAAGGGCCTGTCCGCTTTGGATTGAGCATGTTTTGCACACCCCTGACTGGCTGCTCAGAACTGCGAAGTGTTGCTGTTGAGGGCGAGGAGCAGAATAGCCAGACTCGGGTCAACATCCAGAGTTGACTGCAGGCGATTTGTGACATGTCCGAAGCAGGGATCCAGTGCTGTACAGAAATTTGCTATCGCCGTGCTGGTCAGAAGTGCTGGCATTGCCAATCAGCGGCTCCGCGTGTAGACTTCGAAAACATCAGCTGACTCCCAAAGCCATAGATCATAGCTCAAGATCACTGCCTTTGTATCGCATCACGTTGTATCCGTGTTTTCCGGCCTTTGGGCCATTGGGTGGCCGACTGCCCTTTTTTTCTGGGAGGAGGGGCCTCTGAATCTGCCGGGGGGTATGCAGCATTGATTTTGCTTGACCTCGAATTTTACGATTTGGTTTCTGGGCCCAAGAAACAGGTTGGGACAGGTTAGCAGAATTTGTTTGAACAACCAACGTCCCCGTTAAAAGAAAACCTATGGCCGCTCAAACAATAGTGGCTTGAACATCATCATAATTGGCCCAGACCTGGTTTTCAAGTGGTGGGCACCCCATTGAACATTTCTTGGGGATGCCTTGCAGGCTTACGATTTGCAGGGCCTTGCCCAGATGTTGCCACCGGTTGTGGTAAAAAGGTGACCCTGCAGAGGGTGGCTTTGAAGTTTGCCGCGCCTGCGGGGGGGGCTCCTTTCATAAGAAGGGGAGATGGCATGGGGGGAAAAAGGGGCCGTAGTTGTGGCTATTTTTGTGGTTTGATGGAGTTCCACCTTGTGGAAAGTGCCGCTTTCCGGTTTCGGGTTTCGGTCTTCTGAGCCTCAAGACTTGGCAGCCCATTGGTCCATCGCCTGGAGCCGCCAGGTGCGGCGGTTCTTAGACCACCACCTCCGCGCCGCCACGGGCCACTGCGAGGCGAACATCAGGGTGAAGGGGGGGGGGTGTGCCTGTGGGGGGGCTTGGGTGCCTGTTGGGGAACGAGTCGGTTCTGGGGGGCTGGGCGACGCGGAAAAATGGCATTTGCTTTAGAATATGTTTTCCCCCTGGTTTCAAAGGGAATCTATCACTAGCGGAAATATTGTTGTTGTTTCCAGGACACTTAGGCAATGGAAGAAAACACAATGCGCGAAAGAAGTTGGGTGTGGCTCAAAAATGGGCGATTTCTCCAAAATGGAGCCCTAACATGGAAAAGTAGGCAACATGGTTGCGGTCTCCTGGCTCTGCAGTCTTGAAGCACACACAGGTTGCAAAATAGACCCTGAGTGTCCACCATGAACAGGGGGTGTGATGGTTGGCTCCAAGCAGTGTACCAGTGAGTGCTTCGAGTTCCCGACTGTTTTGTAACCTCCAGGTCTCATAAGAAGGTTTCCGCTGGTTACGCACTACAGGGGCAAGTGGAAGCACTGGGCTGCACTGTGCTTTGCCAAGCAGAACTAAACAGGGTCTCATGTCGGCCTGTGGCGGACATGGCGGCGTGAGGATGTTGATGGGCTTGCTGAAAAGCGGCTGCAAGGTTGACGAGCTGGTGAGGCTCTGGAGCCCGCGTGGCACAGAAAGATGCGTCACATCCGATACATGGAGTATTTAGCCATGTTCAACCAAACAACGAGGTAATCAACCCACTCATATTGATCCACGTTTGCTACTGATTAGGACAAAACTAGGTATAGTCCCAGTTTGTTCCCTCCTGCTTTTGCATCTCGACCACTTCAAGGGCCGCAACAGAAAAGGGCCTGGATTGGAGGGAAACAACCCTTTGCGGACTTTGGGTGGATCGGATCGCTCTCGCTGGGGCGCGAACATTGACAGCGAACTATTCGCGTACTTTTGGTCTCCCGGATCACTTTGTTGTGGGGCAGTGCCACTTTGTAACATCAACAGAAAGCCTTTGCAGTCTCTAGGTGTGCAGGATCTTTCTGGTGGTGGCACGCTTCTGGCTTTGAAGCCCTTGTGGACTTTGGCTGCGTCGACTCGCTCTTGCTACGCTCTGGCGCACTCCTCGTTGTGAAATTTGACAGTTAATCCTTTGCCGCCCTTGGGTGTGTTGTATCGTCCTCGCTGTGGTGCGCGAATCTCGAGCATCCAAAGGTAAAAATGCGGCGCGAGGCTTCGGCAAGCTACGCTGGCTTGCTTGCGCAGAGCTACCTGCGGAGGTCATCGTGCAGGATCTTGTTCCTGACGGCCAATTGTTGTGAGCTGAATTCCCCATGTTTCGGAAACTTTGAGATCCCAGATTCTGTGGTGTGATCTTGAGGATGGGAATGAATCCAATTTTGGCACTGTGGACGAGTGAGGGATGAAACCCTACAGGATGTTTAGGGGATCCCAGATTGTGTGCTGTGATCTAGTCTTGAGGACTGTGGACGAGTGATGCATGAAACCCCTTTGGGATAAAAAACCGCCAATCCCAGGTGCCTGGCACGGATTTGGTCCATCCACAGCCAGCTTTGCTCATGCGCCGCTCCGCGCAGGCGCGGCAGAAGGCTCTGGACGACAGCATCGCGCGGCTGCCGTGGGTGGAGTCGCTGGTGTCCCCTGGCTGCGAAGCGTGGGTTGGGGATGGCCTTTTCTGGGGGCTCCTCCAAACATATTTTATATTTGAGGGTGGACTAAATATGGAACAGAGTCAGAACAATGGGTTTGGGAGCAGCCTAGGCCAAGCGCTTTGGGGCTTTGGGACGCCGCAAGAGGGCACTTTCTGTGAGGGGCTGAAGAATCACTCGCCTTCTGGCTTTTTGCTATGGTCATGACTTGATTTGGTTTTGACTATTTAGGTCCTGCCTGGACCCTGAAACTAGCCTCGGAGAGACTCCATACGTTTGTGGCCAGGTACGCACAGCAACGAGCAAATTTGGGGTAAAGGTTGAACTTTCGCCCCCAACCAGAAAATCAGTGTATCTTCTTCTAGGGCCCCCAAAAGGCTCCTAAAATGGTGGTGTTCCTTTTGCTTTGCCTAAAACGCTGTGGTACGGCGACCTCTTGATTTAGCTGGACTTGGGCCCACTTTGCCCAGGTCGCGATGACCACTCTTGGTTTCCTTTTGGTGCTCCTTAGGCGGTTCCTTTCAAATTCGAGGGCCTCACTTCGAGTGAGCCCCTGGACTTGAAGCTTGGGAAGGCAAATTTGGCGGTGGGTCAAAAACTGGGTACCCTTATGGATCCCGGGTAAATGGAAAAATGGGCCAGCACCTGCGGTCCCCTGGTGCTTTAATTGTGACCCATACCCATTTAGTAGACCGGAAGTCCGGAGGTTTTCTTTGGCCAATCCAGTCGGGAAGCGTGGCAGCTCCGCGATGCATGTTTGGACCTACGAGCTTTGCGAGCGGTGCTCTCGGCACTCCAACGAGTCTGCTTATGAGTGTGTGTGTGTGTTTTGGCGGGGTCCCCTTTTGGTTAGCTTCAAAGGAAGCAAAAACACAACGGATGAGCAAATGAGCTATGATGACCATTTCCACATCTAACGAGCAAAGGGGCAAACAGTTGGTTTACAAGCACCAGCCAGGCAATCTAGTTCAGATGCACCAAAGTGAGGCATGTCAGAGTGTTGGTGTGGTGCTGAGTTGCGCACATGTCACGTTGCCAAGCCGAGGTGGGTGGACCCAGCAACTCTACCCAAGGCTGGCGACTCAGTGTCAGATGACTTTGTTATTGGGCGGGGCCGCCTGTTTCTGCATGACTTTGATCCTACGGAGCTGTAAGAGTGTCACGATGACTGTGAATGACTCATTTCCAGGCCACTGACTTCCGATGCGCAGCGAACGCGGAGTGTTTGCATGGGATCCTTCCAGGAATGGTCAAGTTGCAACCTGCTCCGGCCCTTGGAAGCATCGGTAAATCTTGGCCAGGTGGATGAGGAAGGGGAGGAGAAGGAAGAGAAGGAAAAAGACAAGGCCGGGCATGCCTTTCAGAGTTGGGCCTTGTCTTGGCACGCCTGAGCAAAACGTGCTTTGTGGCCTGAGGGGTGTATTCCAGACTCCCAAACACCCCCCAAAAATGTTGCCCTTCTTCCCATGGCAACTCCCTAGGATGGATTATTGGAGATGGTCCCAACCCAGACTTGTAGTGCTCGGCCAGCTTGTTTTCCTTCGGTTAGATTTGCTGGCTGGTTCAGTTTCAAGTTTCACAAAGCTATGAAGGCCCCTGAGTCATTCCTTGCTTCCGGTCGGCGGATTATGGTAAGCTGTCTTTGGCGAGCACCTTGACTCCTCCAATTTTCCTGGAACGGCAAGTATAACACCAGTGCTAAAACTCCAACGCCTTGTTGCTGAAAATTCCCAAGCCCATACCAATCATGCTGTCTGCTACTGCCTTATGGGTCGCTGTTGATTGTGTTTTGCAAAATGCTCATTTCAGCAACCAGGCAGTACCAAATCCAGCGAAGCAAAAACGTTGAGAGATCCGGGTCGAACAGAAATGGACATTGGGCGCCGCCCATTTTGGGGGTTCCCGCCCAAAGCCTTCTGGCTCCTATGCCCAGTGCAAGGCTCTCTCCCCAAAGCACTCCGTGCCTCATGGTTGAAGAACATGGTTGAGGTCCATAGGGCGCGGCTTTTGTGAGGGTACCAAACCAACCGGAAACCAACCATTCTTGGGAACCCAAGAGGCAAACCCACCAATTTCTGTACCAGAGAACCCGCTTTGAAGCAATAAACTGTTGATTCTTATCTCCTATTTTTGGTGTTGCAGAAACGTGATGTAGCAGCTGGCGTGATGTGAACTCAACTCCGCAAAACATTCCCCCCCACCCCCTTGGCCATGTTACTCGGGTTTCTGCCTTGCGGGAAGGGCATCCGTTCCCTCGGATTTTGAGCCGATCATAGAAGAAAAGGGGGGCAGGGGGGGGGGGTGGAAACCAGCAACCAGTTCTACAAATGGGCCAAACACGCTGCAAAAACACGGTGATTTCAAGGGCCGGATGTCCCTTGCCGCGCACCTCTTGCTTCGAACTTCCCCCTTTTGGGCACGCCAGGAGGCTTCTCCACCCAGACGGAGGGCGCCGCACTCGGCCCGGGGAGGCAAAAAATGTGAGCGAGCTGATAGTGCGGAGAAGGCACCACGAGGATTTGACAGCATACCCATCCGTTTCCAGCAGGTGGCGTTTCTGGAAAGCTACGCAGGCACCCTGGCTACTGTTGATCCATGCCGCACTGGTCTTTTTTTTTGGTATTTGTTTTGTTTGAGCATGAACATGTTTCGCGATGATTTGAGGATGACGCCTGCCGGCAAACCTAGTGTGTCGAAGCCAACTGTCATGATGGCATGTGTGTGAATGCCGTGATGTGCCCAGCTTAGAAGGTTGCAATTCCACGGCTCATGCAATCATCGTTGTTGCTTTGGCACATGCAATCAACATGGCCGTACTACTTTCAATTGCGAGATGTCATGGGCGCAATGTGGTTGGCTGTTGGGGTGACGCTCATTGTCCCGAATCTGCACAAAATCTTTTCTGAGCACCTACCATATGAGGTATGTTCAAAAATGGCTGGTAGAGTCCATGCCTCCATTTAGGCATGGGAACTCACGGGAAAATGTTCCCCACAAAGGACACACTTTGATAGGCTGGTATCTGGAGGGTGGCAACGGTTGGGCGAGGTTCGGTTCGGTGTCTATCCACCCTGATTTTTTGCGACGGTTCTTGTTACCGCTGCCCGGTTCTCCCGGCTTTCTCAAATTCGCTCGGGGTGTTCGCGATCCAAGGGGAGGCTAGAGAGGCAGGACAGCACCAGATTCGGGCAAGACGAGCTTGGCAAGGCGGGCCTGGGGACGTGCCCCATATTTTCGCTTGGGTGATTTGCACCTCACTTTTGGGGTCGATTTACAGGGAGTCTCCTTTGGGTGGGTTAATGTCTGAGAGTCTAAGGGGAAATGTAGGCAGCCCGGAAGGGACACACCGCCGGGTTCTGCCTTCCCTCTATGAATTTTGGCTGTTTGGGTAGAGAAGTGTACACGGTGCGGTTGAAGACCTTCAAGTCACCGCTGCATGATTTCCCAGCAGTTTTCGCAATACTTCGGTAGTCATAGGTGTCCTTTTTGGTTGATTTATTGGAAAAATAGAGGGCCCTGGTTTACCTGGTGGTTCAATCAACTACCAGGGCCATCTATTTTCCCAAAAAGGACACCTATGTCGGTAGTGATACTTGCGACGGTTGGGCCTGGGTCTTTATGAGTTTCGGCGCTGCCTGGAACCAAGCAGTTTTCGCTTTTCACCCCCCCCCTCGGGTCTTGTGAAGTAGAAAACAGGACTACTAGCCCCCAAAATTTTATGAGACTCCCTCATGTTCACTACCAACCCAAATGTTGAGACCGTTTGAACCCAACCCAACCCCCACCCCACCCCCATTTTCTTGGGGAGAAGTTGGTGCTGGCGGGACTGGCAACGACCTGCTGCCAAATGGCCGTCCTTGCCAGCAACGACTCTCGGGTTCAGCCCACGGGCCCCGCGTTGCAATCGCCGTGTCCAGGCGCCGGAGGCGACGTTGCGGTTGCCGCCGGGGCTGTGGCCGCCGTTGCCCCCAAGGTGCCATGGCTGGACTTTAAGCTTTTGTGCCTTCCTTTTTTGGGGGTGGGGGGGTTGGGATAGAGGTGGGGATAGAGGGTGGAGATGGAGGTGGACAGAGGTGTGCCCTTGTGGTTTCCTTTATCCTTGCGGGTCGGATCCGTTTGGCCTAGGTACGTGATCTCCGAGAGGCGCCGGACATGGGCGGGACATGGGACACCGCGCGAGCCGAACGGGGGACGGTTGTCTGTGCAACTCCAGATGTGGCCAATGGAGAGCTTCCCTTGAAGGCGATGCAGGCCTGGCGTTGGCTAGGGTGTAGCGAAGCCGGGCGGAATTCCGGGTTGGTCGGAACGAACTGGGAGAAATTCGGCGTCATTCAAGCATTTGCAACCGATTTGATTGGCGTTCAGTACAATTGACTGGGCTGGCCTCGTTGCAAGCATAGTAAGTGTTGGACGTGGCTGGACGAGTCCTAGCCAGCATTGGTCTTGTTCAGATGTGTTTGTACTTGATCATGGGTGGTAACACCACTCATGACTCATGGCACATGGCAGTTGCCGGATGGCTGATACACCGTCTCTGTGGTACATATCAGGGTATGTATTGGTATATATCAGGGCAGTCCTTTTTGGACGTTGTTGGAAACATGTTTTTGACAGCCTGAAAGGGCAAGTCTCTCAGAGAACTGGCCAAACCGGTCCCAAGGTCTGAAATGGACCACCCCAGTGCACCGAGCGCTTTCGCACAGGGGCCTCCAGCAGTGGAAGGATGGCATCCGCCAATGGGAGGAGGAGGTGAACCAGCAGAGTCAGCGCGGCATGTTTGGTTCCTTGCTTTTTTGAGATGACCATTTGTTTTTGATTGAAACAAGCGCACAATTTTGATATATCTCGCCTTGCAGGCAAAGATGTGCTTTTGGGCACGCGCACGGAGGTTGTTTGTTTGTGCGTTTTCCCCTGATCAGCGGTGTGAATTCCAGGGAACCCAAACTGGCGATCAAAACTCTGTGCGGGTTCATGTCCTCTTTGAGTCCCGTCCAAGTCTTGAAGCTCATTGACTTATGGCTCTTTGGAGGGGCTTCAGAGGATTTGCTTCTCGAAGCATTCGTCAAATGACAAACTATGGCCTCTTGTGGTTTTCGTTTTGGCCCCTGTCAGTCCCTGGTGGGTGGTTCTGCCAGGGTTCACAAAGGTTATAAAACTATAGATACCAAGTTTGGTTTTTCAAATACAAAACACGTTGGGTTACTACGTATATAAACAAATGAGGATCGACCAAAACCAGTCCAAAACCCCCTATGTTTTTGTTTTTTTAGGACAGAATACGAAAGCATATTCGGTGTTACGGCGCTGTGGTCGCGGAAGACCGCGGAAGACCGCGGAAGGGCGAGCGGAAGTTTCGCGGAAGGTTATGTGTTACCATGGGATGAAGCTTTACTCGTGTACTACACGAGTACTGAAAAGTTGTGCTGCTTGAGCTGGGGCAGCTCGTACTTTGCTAGTACTTTTACTTTTATAGGAAACTTACTTATGTTCAGACACGTATCAGAACGTGTGGTTTTACCTGCGTCGCGGAAGATTCGCGGAAGGGCGAGGCGGAAGGCGATTCTTGGAGCAAGGAATATTGGACAACCCTCAAATACAAACAAAAAACTTTGGTGCATTTTGCTTGGATGTTAGGACTTTCTGACTTTTTGCCAACTGACGGGTGTTCCATTAAACCACTAAAAGCTAAACTTTTAGCAGGGGATTAGAAAGCAACTGAGGAAAAATAACCTTTACAAGCTAAATACATCAACTTTTATTCCCGTCACAAGGGCATGGCTCATGTCATGTTGTGGCCTTGGGCAACAGGTCAGCTTCCCATGTCAGGTGCCTCGACTCTGCGTGCCCTGCGCGGGAGCCCAGCCGAGGGAACAACATGAGACCGTGGCAGGTTTGCTTGTCAAAGCGGGCGGCAACGTTTGGTTCTCCCGGCATCTTTGGTGCATGTTGCTTGGATGCTAGGACTTTAACTTTTTGCCAACTAATGGGTTTTCCATTAAACCACTAAAAGTTAGACCCTTAGCAGGGGAGCAGAAAGCAAACGAGATTTCTGAGCACAAAACAGATGCCAGCTCCAAATGTAGCTTTTGGTTCAAAATCTGGTTTTGCTGCCCGCAAAACAAAGCGGTCCCGAAAGACGCGGTTGTGCTCCCTTCATCCCAGGTTTTTGTTCGAACTCCTTGTGTTGTTTTTCCAAACCCTCCCCAAAAATTGAAGAGGAGCACTCAAGCTACCCTTCAAAAGGGGGGATTACTCCATCATGTGTGCGGGAGAGGGGGGAAGCTTTGATTTTCAAACTTGAGGGTCCAGATAGCTGCATTTCCCTTTGACCCGAGCACCAAAATGTTGGGGATGCCAACCGCGAACCCTTCAGAAAAGGCCACCCGAAGTTTTGGGGAAAACATGTCCAAGCCTTGAAAGCCCTCAACTTTTTGGTAAAAGGCAAACCCTTCAAGCCCCGCTTCAAAAAAAAGGCCAGCCCCTCCTTCAAAAAACCCTCAACTTCCGGAAGGCAAGCCCCTGACTCTTGGGCCAAGTCGTACATTGTTCGTCTCTTCGTATTTGGCCGTGGGTCAAAACCAATGGCACCATTTTGGGGTAGGTGCACTACCCATCTTAGTCTATTTCAATGGGGATTGGGATGTTCACGGGGGGTACGATTTAGATTTTGACCCGTGGCGATTTGACCGTAGGTACGAGAACACGGCCCGCGTGGTGCTCGGGGAGCTGCTCAGCAGCCAGCTGCTGGAGCCGGAGGCACGTAGGGCTCAGGGTTCCTTTACTAGGTCCCGCAGTAGTGCCCTTTTACCTTTTTTGGGAGGGTTCCCCTACTAAAATAGACGACAGACAAAAGGGTACCCTTATTCTAACCTCTCTACTGGATGACCTTGTTGAGGCTTAGGGAAGCCAAAAGACCCCCCCACCCCCACCCCGCTCACATCATCCTGGGAATTGCTCATGACTGATTTGTTTCGTTCTTCTACCCCGCAACTCTACTTCGGATTCATCCGGAGTACCAGACCAATCTGCCAGTTTGTTTTATGGGTTTCGAGGGTAAACGAGCCAAAGCCCAAGATGTAGGTCCTTTACTTGGGAGGACAATTGTTATTTTAGGTGTTGGAATTTAGGTGTTGGACCTATGTTGACCTTGGATTAATGAACTTTCCGGATTGTGATTGGGCTGGATCCAGATTGCCTCTATGGCTGACGTCTCCTCCCACGCCGCTCTGAATAATGGAGGCAAGTCTTCCAAAGGGGAAAGAGCACATGCGCCAATCAACTGGGCCGCAGTATCTCATAAATGATGCTTGATTCATTCCGCTTGGGTAGAAGTTGGATGAAAGATTGGCTGTTTGGAGGTCGTTCCATTTGCCTCCAGGTGCAACCCCCAAACCACCAATCCAAATCACCAATGAACTGTGGCCAGAAAGTTGTGTCCCCCGCCCCAAAGAGCAACAGGTGTGTGGCATTGTCGTAGCATCCCAGAACCCTTTTGGGTCACCATGGTCATCTAACACATATCTGCAAAGCATATTGAAGATTGGAACTTTAGTGAGCATCACTTCAATCCCCGCCGGTTTAGTGGGTTCTACCCACAAGCATGGAAGCTGACAGGGGGGGTTTTGGAGCATGTCAGTCCTCTTGAAAAAGCCCCCAATCGTCCACTTTCATCGTTGCTGGAAAGAGGGTAACCGGTTGCATGGCAAACTGCGGACTGACGGGTTTTGTGCGTTGGCGGGCAGGCGACTCAAGATGTCATCTCAATCGAAATCGCCGGTCAGGTCTTGCACTTTACGAGTCGCTTCCTGCCCCTCGGGCTGCAGGGCCTGGGGCGGGCACAGGTTCTGTCAGAAGGGCGGCTTCCACTTGGATCTCTCGTTGGAGATGAGCCCAACGGGAGCCAGATGGAAGGCGCAACAGGAAGGGTCAAGCCCGAAGCTCTGAGCTGGCCTTTGGGGTGGCAGTTCGTCCCTGAACAAACTAAGTGGTTCGGTTCCTACCTGGTTTTAGGGGGATAGGGGGGTCGTTCAGGCGTTAAGCTTTACAGACACGGTATTCTGTTTTTTTCTTCAAATAGCCAGCGGGTGCTGCTCGTCTAAGAGCCCCTTTGATCAAAAGGTTCTTTCGAGCCCCGAGAGGCGGGCAGTGGGACTTCTTTGGAGCTTGACGTGGACCCGGGACAAGCGGACGACTGGTGGGACTCATTTGTCAGTTTGAAAATCAGCATGCGGATGTTGGCTACGTATCATGTTGCTTGTGTCAGTACTCTAATGTTGAGCAGCCGTCAATTTAGCCACTTTTTTTTAATATCAGCATTGGGAGGGCATAGAAAAAGGGCTCCCAATCATACCACAATGTCACAACCATCAGGGGAGCACATGTTTGTCCAATGTCCATTTGGGGCAAAAGTTATGTTGCCCATTGTTTGCATGTCAAGACAGGGAGAAGTTATTGGTTGGATTCAGAAGGCATGAACAGCACATCAACCACCTTTTCGCAACTGGCAGTCAGCAATGTGGACTCCGGATTCATACATGGCGGATTTATAGCGGGGTGCTCCGCCAAAGAGTACTCCGTGTTCCCTCTCAAATGGGTGCGTCCCTTTTTGGGGAGCACTGTTTGAGGTTCTGCCAAACTTCTTGGTAGTCCATGGTTCATTTGGGAGGCACATGGGGGACTCAGGTTCCCAGAAAAATCAGGGGATTCACAAATCTTCACATGTCCTCTTGGGGAAACAAGTCACATATCATATGGAGACACATCGATGTGGACACAGACCCACCTTTCTTTGTGGGGCCCCAAACGGGCGTCGCTGGTTTCCGCCCGTCCGTGCCGAGGCCCCTCTTCACCCGGATCTTCGACGAGTACGCGGATGAGCACTCCGCCCATCAGCTGCACATAGGTTCTGAGCCCTGAGAGTGGGTCGAACCCAAGCTGTCGTGTAACTATATCTAGTCGACTGTCTGATGTGCTGCATATATCATCAATCTGTATACAACAAATGTGTAACCAGAAGTTTGACGTACTCCTGCGTACCTACTGCCTACGTTACGGGTGTATATCACTAAACTGGGGGTTTCTCCTAAAAATTGGGGACCACTTCCTCCAGGTAGTTGGCGTGTTGTTCCCCATACCAAGAAGGTACCTCCCTTTGAGACAGACCCAGTGTAGCTGGGGTCTCCTCTTAGCCCTCCTCTTATTCTGTTTGGTTCAGGTAGCTGGCTTACGGGATCCATGGGTTCATCCCCCCGATTCCTTACTGAGAATCGATTTCCAGGTCCCAGCCTTCGCACCTGAGGCGGATTTGTACCCGGAAGCTGGCTCCAACTCGGACACGGCGGGTTGCCCCGGTGAAGTCGGACTGCCTCGAAGATTTCACGGCGCCCTTCTTTCCAATGCCAGGCTTCCGGCCACTGGCATGTAAGACTTGGGTCAATCTACCTGGAGAATTACCTGCTGTAACGGGAATCTGGAAGCGGGGAAGCACAATGACAAGTGAATATAAGAACTGACACAGGAACCCAAGAACAGCGCGGCACATCAAAATACTACGAGGTTGATTATGACGGAGATACAGGTGTTTACGTCTCATCGTGTCATTCTAAAAAATCCTTTCCTCTCAAGCATATTTAAAGAAGCATTAGCACACACACGCACACACACGCACACACACACACACACACACACACTAGAATGCGCCATGACGCAAAACCCACAAGACATTGTTAGAAAGGGGTAGGACAATCAACGCATGGACACTGTGTATTACAAACTTGGCAGGAATGTAGAGATACAGTAAAGGCGACGAAGGAATTAAGGTAGCAACAAAAGCAACAGCAAGCAATGGAAGTTCATAGTATAAAGCCTCTGATACCTTAGTTTTACTATACTTACAAAGCTCGAGGGTCAGGACCATGCCTTCAAGAAGGAAAATAACACGGGACAATTAAGAGGGCACGGCTGTGCCCAATTTCACTGAGAGGTACCTCATTTTTGGGCACGCGGTTTTCAGAGGGTCACCGTGCCTTCTCAATGGTTTGAGAAGGCACGCTTTTCTGGGGGAGCCCGCGAAATCCAGAGGACGCGTATCCAGAGTTCCGAAACACGTAATTGTGATTTTTCATGTTGCAGTTGTAGCCGGTTTTTTCTAGTCTGTGTAAAATTTAACATCTGTTCAGATTCAGCAAACGCAAAGCATCAGGTATGAACCGACTGTCGTAACATCGCATTGTGTCAAGAATGGGCTAACACAACTGAACTGCTACACTACACATGACAGCTAAATGAATACCATGTGACATATCATTGAATGTGTTGCATGTGAAGAAATGCTGTGTATAAAACCAAAGTAGTTTCGATCGATGATGATTATTTCCAGCATTTGAACCATCAAGAGGAATACAACAACTACGAACATTAATAAGCAAAACACAACACCCCGTGTATCACAAGTTTGGTATTGAATATCGATTAATTGTGGGATACATGCAGTGAAATCATAGACGATGCTTGCTATGGTTTAACAAATTATTCGATGAGTTTATTGAAATTCTACATTACATTGATATGAATGTAGGTTATAGACATGTTAAACTATACTGAGAAAGTTTTGGAATGGACATCGCCGGCCGACAGGTTAAACCAATTATTCTTCAATGAAGATCCCGATCATGACCATGAAGGTGATGAGTTGGACGAATACTTTGAAGATGGCACTTTTAGGTTGTTTTTACGATGTGATTACAACATGCAAGATCTTGTTTGCTGTAACTATAACATGCTGTTATTGTACGAGCAATGGCGGTGCCTATGTAGCTAGGCCTTGTTCACCCGCATTTGCCATCCCATGTTTCTAGGGTGGTTTTTGCTGCAGTAATAACATTATTTGGGGTAGCGATGATAATTTCGGTGTTCTATTGGTTAACCACTCTTCCGGGAGTGAGATTCTGGGTGAAAAAGGCTTGTTTTGATAGGCGTCCTTGAACGGTGCCAAACAACGTTAGGGGGGAGGGGTGGATGGTTGAACAAGGCTAGTTCTCCCCTGTGGGTAACCAGCCATTTTCCGTTGTTTGAAAGGGTGGTTCCTTTGTTTGATTGCTATACTTTCAAATAAATCCACACAAAGTTCTTTTGTTTTCTTTTAGGGCCGGACTTCTACCCTGTCCACTATCAGGGTCGAATGGGAGCACAGTCGCAACGCCCCGCGAAGGAGTTCGGCCTGCCGGTGTCACTCAGAAAAGTTCCTTTCAACATCAGATATTCGCCTGGTTGCTTATTGTGATAATCAGTCCATTCGGGCGAGCCGACCTCAAGGGGAGTTGGTCCAGCAATTTGGCGCAAAGCATCCTCAGGTTCACGTGTGAATCGCAATTCGAGCTTGGGGGACAGGCGCAAAGGCGAGAGAAGCCATTGGTTGACAAACCTGCGCCCAGGGTGACGAGGGAGAGTCAAGAGGCGAGTCCTCGAGAGGCGAGTGAGATGGGTCGCATCGAAGTTTCGACCCAAGGCTCCGGAAAAGGACCGATGTGAACTTAGGCTCTTAGGCTATCCTTAGGGGGCATTCACACCATGGTTTGTGGGTTGCCAAGCTGGTTTTTGAGGACGATGGAAAGAGCAGGGACTATCAATGGGTTGCAAAAGCAAATTGGAGGTGTCCAAAACCAGCCAGACAATTTTTTGGTTGTACCCCCGATTGTTGGCCTTTCTTCTCCATGGCGGCCAGATCCCGGCCCCTGGTGCGTTGGGTTCCAGGTTTCCTTATCCCGGAGACTTGTCGGAATCGGGCAAGAGGCCGTGGTGAGGCTATCACACGTTTGGCGGTAAGCCCAAAAAGTTTCTTGGCCCGTAAAACAAGGCACACCAGGCTATGCGCAATCAGTCTCCTGGGCTTTGCAAACCGGAGATTCCGAAGCACAAATTTGGGTACGAACTGCGAAGCACTGCGAGAGGTTCCGCGCCGCGAAGGGTTGCCTCGTGAACCGGGAATTGGGGCACTGAAGCCCATGGGACATGGCGTGGTTGGACCCAAGCCGAGAGACGCAAGACCCATTGTGCTGAGAGCTGACCCACAAAGACCTCAAAGGTTTTGGGATGTTTTGGGTCAGAGAAGTATTTTTTTTTAAAAAAAAAGCAGAGACGCAGACACACACACCCTTTGACTCCTCGCCTCAACCGTGGCAGGTTTCAACCTCCGCAGCCCAAAGGCGGGGCGGCGGGGGGGGGGGGCGGGGCGGGGGAACCCGGGATCCCCAAACCTGCCGGTGTCAAGGGTGTGAGTGTCTCTTGTTCGGAGGTTGGCGTTAAGGGGCAATGAATCTACCTGGACCCTCAAGCTGCATGGAATAGGCTTCTTGCTTGAAAGTTATGGTCCAGGTAAACTCTTCGTTTCCCCGGTTTTGGTTGGTTTGAAGGGAAACCAAAAAGAAGCCAACCATATTGTGGGGTCCATTTGCTATTTTGAGACCTACCATGGCAAGCTGATATTTGCCCCAGCGGACTTGTTTCTTGCGCGCTTTGTGAAGTACTGTACTTGAAATTGAAGTTTTATCATCAATCACTCCATTGCCCGAGCAGAGACCCCACAAGCCCTCAGCGGAGAAAGGGTACCGGGCGGCATGGAGTCAATCCTTACCTTTCGTTACGTTACGAAAGTGGTCCCCTTTGTAGGGATTATGGATTGGGATTGGCCAACTCTCCATTTTGAACTGAAGCGGATTTTGCCCATGCACCCATTGTCCAAAAAGGCTGAGAAACTCAAACACACGCGCACATGTCCCTTGGCTGAAATCTTGATGGGTGTCTCGTTTTGTTTTTTTCTTCTTCTTGGACTAGTTTCAGTGGAAACCAGAAGGACACCTACAATTCTGGGGTCCATATCTTGTTTTGAGACGAACCATTGAGCCCATGGGGATTAAACACCCTCTGTTGTCTACCTAGCGAGTTTCATCACCTAAATTGGGCCAACCATTCTTGCATTGCGGGACTCACCCCAGGGAACTCTGGTTGGAATCGTTTCTCCGAACCAGGGCCATGGCCCAATGCTGATGCCGGGGGAAGAGAAGACGCTGAAGCCGCGGGACCGACAGGGAAACCGGAAAGGCGACGAGCGGGGAGAAGCGTCCAGTTGGTTTACTATGACTGCAGCGTCATTCATAAATACACCGGCAATGAGACAGGAACATAGGAGCCCACGCAAGTAGCTGAAAGCAGCCGCAGCATATGCACAGAGGATCTCTCTAGAAAGTCTTGCAAAGAGAAGCTAGAAGATCTCCTGTGGAAAGAGGTTCCGTACAAGTTTTATCTAAACGGTTTTCTACGGTGTCTGCAAATTCTGGAGCAAGATCTGCGTGTAAGGATCTTTGCAGGAACTGTGAATAGTGTCTCTCGATAGGACCTCTTGGCAAGATCTGTGGGATCTTCGAGAGAACCCGCAAGATGTGTTGAGTGAATCCCTATGCAGGACCAGCTTAAGATAATTGTGGAAGCCTTTGCAGGCTTTTGCAGGATCAAACCATATGCTGCAAGTTGTTCCAAATTTCCAAGATCTCTGAGCACACAAAACCTGCGCAAGGTGACAATCGACCAGAAGCTTTGCGGGGAGAAAGGCGAGCGAAAGCAACAATTGCTGTGGACATGAGTTGATCAGATTCTTCACGCACGTGCGCCGCAAAATCTGCCGCCCCTGATGATGGTATGATGGTATGATCATGATGATGGTATAATGGTATGATGGTATGATGATGATGATGATGATGATAATGATGATGATGATGATGATGATGATGATGATGATGATGATGATGATGATGATGATGGTGATGGTGATGGCGATGGCGATGGTGATGGTGATGATGGTGATGATGACGATGATGACGATGATGACGATGATGACGATGATGACGATGATGACGATGATGACGATGACTGATGATATGGAGGATTAGCATTGCCTAGTCTATTTTTGGTATTGCCAAGATTCCCAGTACTTAACTTAGTATTGCCAGAATTGACCCACCCCAAAAGAGCTTAACATTGCAGATGCCCCCCCCAACAGTCCTACTAAACAGGATCACTGGCTCTCGTTCATGGGCACGCCGCGTTGTGCTACTGTTTGGGCTTGGTTCTCTGTAAAGACTATATCTTGATTTACGTGTCTTGGCGACCGCTTGCAAGATTGAGTTTCCTAGATCTACTAAGAGCTTGAGCCGCTGAGCTGTGAAGTACTAAGATACAGCACACTTGAAAAGTAAAAGGCTGGGGCGTTGATATGTAGTATTTTTGCTTTGCTGGCAGGATTTGGTTTGTACTGCTGAGGAAGCTGAGAGGAGACATCATGCCCATATTGCTCAATTTGCTCAGATTGTTAGGGGCGGATTTTTGGCGGTTTGAATTTGACATAAAAGGTGGCCCCCAAACAGTGGGGGTATCGTGTTTAAGCCAAGGAAACTTGATATACTTCAAGGTCCCGTTACTGTTTGAACCAGGTGCGACATCATGAAACGGATGCAGACATTTCCCATTCCAACATCAGGGTCAGGATCGCCCAGGATGGCTGGTCTTCAGGTGACAGGCCACAAACACTGGCGATGATCTGTTTGATTTGGATGTTTGCACTGGCCAGACGGGGACAGGGTTCAACGAGGGGGATGCCCTGAATCAGGAAGCCTCGAGCTGCCAATTTGGACGGGGGGGGGGGGTTCGTTAAAGGGTGGCTGTAAATTCTAAACGTATTTGAACATCATGTGTTTGGCCAATTTTGCAAGGGCTCTTAGACACTGGCACTACCTGTCCGGACATACCCGAAATTGATATTTAGATTGAGAAACTAGGATTCCGGATGGGAATACTTTGCAAGCACAGAACAGGTGACTCCGTTGCAACACATCGCATCACATGGAACCTAAAGCTGGGCTCACAGAGGATTCCTGCCAAATTGGAGGGCTTCTTGAGTTTTATTTGCATGTTTTAAACGAACACCAAAGGGAAGACCGAAACCCATGTTCGGGGTCCAACTGCCTAACATACTCAGGAGAATTGTCAACTGCGGCTGCTCGTGGCAAGTACTCATGGGTCCCGATGGGTTAATCCCACTTTGGCACAACACGAAGGGTTTTCTCCAGCTCGAATTCGGGTGCAGATCGTGGAGGAAGAACCTAATAATGTTGACCCCCATATTCATCAACCTATTACGGTTTGAACCCAATAGTTCTCCCACCAATAAGCCGGCGGGTCCCTTTTTCAGGAAAATGGTCTTCTGGGACCCCCCGAGACGTCTGGTTCCATTTGAATTGGTGGGAGGGTGCTACGCGAACGGACCTTCTTCAGGAGGGGCCGCCGGACCTCATGTCCTTCAACGCCTTCTTCTCCTTCTGCGCCGAGTTCGAGCTCTTCCCAGGGCATGCGCCCGGGGCCCCATGGGCCCCATGGGCCCATACCCATGAGCCCCATGGGCACCTGAACCTGCCGGGGAGGGCATGCAATGTGGAGGGCCCGGTTAACACGGAACTGGGTCTGCAAGAGGGTCCCCAAAAAGAGGTGGTCACTTGCAATGAGTTTTTTTTTGGGGGGGCGGGGCTCCGTTTCAATCTTCCTCACTCCCTGAGTTCTTGGAATTCATACTTTTCAGGACGACTATGTCAGGGGGAGACAAGCAGTCGGACTCTTTTGGGGCCAATTTTCTCGGGAAGCACGTATCAGACCAGAATTAACACTACGTACTCGCTTGACCAATAAATCAGGGCTTTGCCAGGATGGATTGCTCATGGCAGGTTTGTGATTTGGTTATGTGTCACAATTGGGATTTTTTGAGCCCCATCAAATGGGTGGTTTTTCTTTACAGCGAGGTGAACAGGGTACCCTAAAAACAAACATTTGGAGAATCCTCTTGCGAACCAGCTGATCGGGAGTGTCTTTTGGGCCACTCTGAGGTGTGTCTCAAGGGGCAAGGTTGGCTGCCTCCATCTACGGTTGGGAGCTGAATTATGAGAGGCTTGCAGGGTATAATTGAAATAAAGTTAAGCCATGAATCTTGAATGACGTTGCTCCTCACATGACCAGGGTTTTGATTGCGGAACGTCTATCTTTCCCACTACATTGTCCATATCCAAAGATCCTTACAGTAATGAGCTTCAATGCAGACGATGTGGATTTGCTTCGTATTGGACCGGTCTTTTTTTCCAACCAAACGAGCACACATGACAAAGAGTTAAACAAAAAGAGAACCCTTACAATGCCAGGTCGTTTGACGAGCTCAAGCAGATCTATGACTCTGCAGAGACTGCTCAGGAGTTTTGCATGTGACGAAATGACGGGCCTAATTTGGATGGTGGGCAAAAGCCATGCAAGTCATCCTAAGTGGTTGGTGATGTCCAGAGTTCAAAGCTACCTGAATTCAGGCATAGTGTGTTGAAAGCCGGCAGTGGGCACTTAACTTGAACCAAGAACACCAGGTACCCGGACCCTCATCCTTAAGGCGGGTCCCCCCATAAGTTTTGGGCATGGTCCCATTGGGTCCAGTCCAGGCAAGTACATACAACAAGCAGCCTGACACTCAGTCATTTGACCCACCCCGGGACCCCCTTTTCTCAGGGTTGGCTGCTCGGAGCACTTGTGGAGCAACAACCAGACCCGATTCGGCCAACTGCAATCCGAACGGAGGGTGTTTAAACCATGGTTAAACCAGGGGGTTGAATCACCCACCCCGGTTCCCCCTCAGGGTCAATTGTGTTCCGTAAAACGGAAGCAGACGATTTTGGCGGATTTTTTGTTTGGGCCCCAAAAGCACGCAGAGAGCCAAGGGTTCCTCTCGTGAAGAACCCCCTTTGGCCTACCCAACCCACCTGAGGGCCCCTTTCAGGTATTGACAGGAAATTCGCCACCCCCCCCCCCCCCCGTAGGTTCAAGCGTATCAGCTTCTGACTTAACCCCCAGCCAAAAGAAATCACCCCAGTCTTTCCCAGAGGATGCTGAAGTTTGATTCAGCATGCTGCAGGAGCTGACGCTTGACGCCCCCGAGGTGGGACGCTCAGGATGAAAGCGAAGGGCGGAAGGGCGGAAGGGCGGAAGGGCGGAAACGCCCGCTGGAAGATACAATTGGATGAAAGTGGATGGCGCAAGCCTTGCATGTTGACATAGTCATCCCTCTACCCATTGCCACAAAGGCAACAGCCGTTTCCTGCACAATGAACCAGCAGCGGGGGGGATGGGGGGCGCGAGTTGAAGGCTTGGCATTCCGGGGGTCTCAAAGGATGCGCCAGATGCCCAGCACGCCGGTTCTTTGCCCAGAGCGGAGGCCCATGTTTGACTATGTTCCAGACATGTCTCTTTCTCTCTCTCCCTCTCTCTCTCTCTCTCTCTCTCTCTCTCTCTCTCTCTCTCTTCCTCTCTCATTTGTCGCCATTGTTCTCCCCATCAGAAGTGTTTCACTGTTCTCGACGCGCTTGCCATATTCTGAGCTCACGGAGGGCTCTTCAGCAAGCCATGGTTTTCCCCGCTTCCCATTCGGGAAATTCCCGTGAAGGGCTTGTGATGGCAGTTTCGCAGGACTTGTTCGTCCCAGGCAAGCCATGAAAACAGTGGTCTGCCAGGGGTTTTCCCGTTGTCATTTTTCCGAGTCGTGCAAATGATTGTAAATTGTCAGATGTGGATTCGGTGTAACCTTAGTGTTGGCTTGGAAAGCACGGCCACCAGTGCCGCCCAGGGTAGGGCTTTGTGCCATCTCCCACACAATGCACGGCACTGAACACATTTGACCCACAGTTGGCGGGTAAATATTGCTTACGGGGCCTTTGTCTTTGGTGTGACATTTTGCCCCAACAGAGCCTTCTGGAAAAGAAAAGGAATTTGGGGGGTTTCCCATGCCGAAAAATGTCCTACTGGGGGGCTTGGCACTTCCCCCCAGTTGCCCAGTGGTGTCCTTTTTCCCTTTTTTGGGGGGAAGGGTTTCCCTTTAAAGTCAACCAACCCCAAAAAAAGGATACCCCGTTTTTTCGCACGGCCACCGGGCATCTGGGTCCCCCACCCCGACCCACCCGCGGAGGTGCCCCGGCGCCGCACCACCGCCTCCGCCTCGGCGGCCCTGGCCTCCCAACTGCCGCAGGAGTTCGAATCGACTCGGATCCAATCGGCGCGTGAGTCGTGGCTTTGGAGGTCCCACGCCTTTGGATGGCCCCAGATTTGAATCAGCCAAGCTGCTTGAAGGCTGTTCCCCTCGAACAGTCTGATTCCCCGCCAAGCCAGGGACATCCCCTCTTTTTGCCATGTCCACGAAACTCCCGTGGTTTGCCCGTTCCACGGTTTGTGGGATAAATAAGCAGCCCCCTAGTGTAGCAACCCTTTTCAAGGGAGGCTGTTCATTTTAGTGGCAAACCAGCCCCTTGCCCCACAGAGGTTTGCTTGTTCGATCAGAATGTGTGTGGATCCCATCCAAGCCACTATAGTGGGAAACCCATCGCGTTTTTTTCGTAGTAGGTTTAAAGGCTGGTACCTTTGATTGCCTATACAGGGAAATGGAATCACTGAGGTACTTTAACACCATGTTTGGCCATAATAATTATAGGAGATGTGGGAGTGTGTAACTGTTGGACCTGCAAAAGTTCCCAATGCTTTCCAGGCAAGCCAAACCCTTTCGGTTCCTTACATGATTTACATGGTTTCCCCTTGCCCAGTATAGTGGCAACTGGAAGCACTGAACTTGGTTTACTTGTTTTTACACAGGTTTGCCCTTGGGTTTTTTTGTTGGACACCTTTGGCCCATGAAACATGTTTCTTGGAATGGGCGGCTGTGGTCTTTGTTGGGCGCGAAAGAGCGCCCCTGCTTTCTTGTTCCCAGCGTTCCCCCCAAAGTGCAACTTGTTTGGACCCACAAAGGTGGCCTGTTGGTTGCAAACCACCAGTAAATTGCAACTCTTGTGATCTCACCTTTCTGGAATTTGTTTATATAAAGGTGAGGGTGATGTTTCAAGGCTTTCCCCTTTCCTGCGCTTCAGATATACCTATAGCAGGTAAGTGCTTTCTACCTCTAAGTTTGAGGTTCCGGAGACGGACTCGCAGAGGTTCAACCACAAAACCCTGCAAACGAAACACAGCTTTTTCGTGCCCAGAAAAACATTGATCCCTTGATTTCCCCTTTTGGCGGGTTTTGAACACCTTTCTGGGCTGTTTAAGGGGGTCTGATGCATAGGGAACTCGGTAGAATATCCGCAAGCATGGGAAGTTTGGTTTTCCGTCGTTCCAGGCGACTAAGAAAGGGCCCAAGTTTTGATGCGACGATGTTCAAGGTTTCGTCAAGGGAGTCTTGTTTGTGGGCTCTCGTACTGCACTTCTTCTGGAAACCATAGAGAAGCTCAACCGCATTTTTTGTGCTGCGTGCCCAAGTTCCAAGTGCTTGACCATGGGGGGTCAAAATTGAGGCCCCTTGTTGTATCCCCTAAAGGCCTTGGACGACACGGGTCCAAAAGGCGATACTTTTGACAACCTGCCAGGGGTGCGGGTCCTGGTTCCTGGCATTATGTATTAGCACCCAGGGATGTGTTAACACAAGCACCCCTCTCAAACAAAGTAGTTTTCCTTGTGGTTTCCTTTTATCCTGCCGGGGTCGGAGCAAGCGTATACATGCATGCAACGAAATGACTCAGACATGTCATGGCAAACTAATGGCTTGGCAGAATCGTATCAGTGAGCATGATGTGGCGATTCTGATGAGCTTTTCGTGCACCATCTCATGAACACACCCACACACGCAGAGACACAATCGCCAATGACAGGCACATGCCTTTCCCTGTGTTCCCACAAATGAACGCGTGTGGACAAAAGACAGGCACGCCCGTTCAGCAGCCCAAGTCAATCGCGCCCTTCCAATCGACATGCATGTTGCCAATGATGAATGCAGCTGTTCAGTTATAGCCTACTGTAGAGCCCTCATCAATTGTCATGCACAGAATCAGCGCAGCCTGCTTTTGGCAACAAAGCATGTGCGTTGGACCAAAAATTACGCATGCCATTGCATTTCACGTGGGTGGACGCGCGTAGCTCCATTGATGAACATGCCTGTCCAGATGGTAAGCTGCAGCAACCCTGGCCAACAACTACCTCGGCACAATCGCAGCCAGCATCCCCTGAAGATACCCAAAGCCAACCGTTTGACGTTTGGTGTTGCCTTTTTGTCCCATTTTAGTCATGGCCCCAACAGGGTAAACTTTTATTTTCGGGTCCTTTGGGCAACTGAGTACTGTATATAGCCCCAAGGCATATCTATGAAGGCCCACCATTGGGGTTCCGCAAGAATTGTTTGAAGCTACGCGCACTGCTTGAACCTCCGATGGATGCCTGAATGCAATGTACGTCAGTCATTTTACCAGACTTTGTTGCTTGGATGAGTTGGGCTGGCTCACTTGCGATTCTTTTTGGGCATTCACCGTCGCTCTGCCAAGGAGGTTTGTTCTCTTTGGGTTGGAGCAGCTTTGGTTTTCGATTCGATGGACTTTTCACCTTTTGACCAGTGCCTAAATCATTGGACTAGTGGGATATGGCTAAACGCAAAACAGTTGTTCACGTGAGATTGTATTTGGCCCCTTATTTCTTCGTAGAACGTGGGAAGCCAAACGGCGGCCGTCATCAACAACAAACGCCAGTTCCTGCTAGGTGGACATCGAGTTCCTGAACAAGCCCCTCTGGGAGATGTCGGACATGGAGCCCGGCGCCCAGGGCGGCAGCGGGGTGCGGCGAACGAAATGAGATGAGCTTGGCCAAAATGGCTCTGGGTCAAAGCCAATGGTACCATTTTGCGGTAGGTGCACCACCCATTTTAGTCTATTTTAGTGGGAATTGGGATGTTCACTGGGGGTTCGGGATTTTGACCCATGGCCAAAATGACAAGGACATCGATGGTTAATTTGACGGGGGAACTTCTTCTGACTGCTTCTGGGCGTTGTCAAAGTCGGAAGCTAGGGTGGTTTCCCTTTCAACCACCACTCGGGGTGACTTTGCTGGCAAATTCATGGGGCCAGTTTGAGAGACGAAAGCTCCCACAAGCACCAGGGGACGTTCTTGTGGGGCTGTTTTTTTTCTTGATTTTCCCTTTTACCAAACCTTGGACACAGCGTCTCCAGAAAGGACCCCCAGTTTTGACATGTTAGTTCCTGTTTCCAGCACACCTGCCCTTTGCAAACCAGCCGATCAACCCGTCTCATGAAGGTTCTTGTCCGGCAAGGGGTGAGAAAAGGAACAAACTGATGTAAATGATGTCCACCAACATCTCCCCTTCATGAAATTCACGCCCCTTGTACTTCTACTTGTATGACTGTATGACCCCCATCGAACAAGGACAGTTGTTTTGTTTTTTTAAGACCGCATACACTGACCACAGTTTGAATTCAGTTTACAATTGCTATTAGAATGCATACATATATTTTACCCTAAACCCTACACCCAGGTTTCCTTAAAGTCAACCAGAAAGAAAGCCCGGATATCCCCAACAGCCCCTTTGCACCCTTGAGCCCCAGCCCACCACTCCGGCTTTTCGCCACGCCGGAGCCTTGGTCGCTTGCCGAGTTGATCAAACTTGAGTTGTTCTTTCGAGACTTGAACCAAATGGGTGTGTTTGGGGGGGGGGGGGGTGGGGTGGTTTTGGGGGGTTTGTTCAGGGCTGAGAGAGACTTGAATTACCGCCAGTTTACTTAGTTCCCAGCCATCCCTAGTGGGTTCGATTTCCACAACCATTTAAGAACCGTCTTTGGTTTGAACGATTCTCCGGAAAAAAAGCAAGACGCGTCGCGCAAAAAAACATCCGCAGGCTGCTGATCACCTTCTTCTTCGCGGCCCTGGAGCAATGGCGCGGACCTGGGGAAATGGTCGGTTTGGGGGGGGGTTTTGCGGAGGCACTTAGAAGCATGGCTTGGAAGATGGTTGGTTGATGTTGCCACTTTCTTTGGTATTCCTACTACTCTCTATGTCAGATATGTATATAATTCATAATATGTCAGGACATGTCTTAAACACCGAACCCCTTGAATTGACCGAGGAGTAGGGAACACCCAGTTTAGTTTAGTATCACAGAGGCATTAAACAAAGGTTCTGGTGTCGGCTTCAGGCGTCTTTCTGCCAAACATGCCCACTTGCCAACAGGGAGGTCTCAGCCGCAGTTGCTAAGGGAGCGATCCGCAGGAACCCCAAGCAACTCTTCCCAATCAAGCTATTCCAAAGAGGCATTTGCTGCTTGGCTACTTGACTCAAATTGATGAAGCTCATGGATTAAGGGGGGTGTTCGCAGAAAAGTCCTCCCTCTAAAATGGGACACCCCTTTCAATCGACCTGTGTTGCCATTGCGAACTAGAAGCAAGGGCAGCTGTTTAATCAGCGCGGCTGACTTGATACACACCAAAATGCAAGCAGGGCTGAAGGCAAAATGGTACTACTCGAGGATTTGGAACTGTGATGCACCCGCATAGGTGTCCTTGTTGCGTCAGTTCGGCTGAACATTGGTGGCAGATTCCTGTTTGGTTCTATCCATTTGTCAGTTCTGTCTTTCCAGAAGCAACGCAAAAGTCAGGTGTTGAACCCTTTGACCTGCGTGTTGGTCGCCCTGCCGCCGCTTCAAGTATCCCGTGCGTGTGCGCGGCGGGCACGCCCAAGAGTTGGTGGCGTGCCTGGTTCCATCAAAGCAACATCCTCAAAATGACTGTCTACCCCCTGCAAGCCCAAAAGGTGGGGGTAAAAGGAGATTCCTCTCTTAAAAACATGGCTTTCTGGGTTCCATGTTTTTTGGGGAGTAAATCGGTTATATAAAGGGACCCCCGAAAAGTGCAACCGCTTCAAGTGATTTAGCTTGAGCCCCTGTGCCTTTCGCGTTTTGTGCGGAATTGTCTGCGGCGGGTGACCCGGAGCCCTCGTGGCAGGCCGATGGAGGCCTGGGAAAGTTGGCCCAAAGACGACTCCCTTTGACCTTTTGGCTTTCCAGGTTTGGTGCATACTTAAGGTCCCCAAAGGGTAACCTTTTTTCAGGTGCCTCGGGCAGGTGAGAATAAGTACACGTTTGTTTCTCCCACGATCATGAGGCAATTTGTTTTACTCATGCCCCACAACCCCTATGTTTGTTCAGGCCTTATAGTATAGTAGGCGGCCACTTTCGGTGAACAATTCACGGAAATCTGCTTTTGCTGATGACAAGGGTGCCATGGTTGGATTGGACAAGCACCCACACAAAGGTTTTGACAGAAAGGGGTGGCCATTCTTTCACAGCCATGTTTCCCACCGTGGGATTCCCAGATGTTCGCCCGATTTAATATCAGTCAGTCCACAGTATCACAGAAATCTGCCCGGGATATTGCACATAAAAATTGGGCCTTGCTTTCCAATCTTCTGTTGAGTTGTATTGAAAAGATCAACTGGACCCTGCCGAAGGATTTTCTCCAAAAGCCAGAGGTGCCGCTTGCAGTTTGAAAAGAACCAGCTTCCTACGCACACACACACAAATCGTGTTTCTTTTGTTCGAACAACAAACAGCTCCTCAAGTTGTTTTTTCTTTTCTTTTTTTAAACGAAATAGCGTATCCAACACCCCGAGGTGTCGCTACATTTGCTGAGCGGTGAGGCGGCCGTGGTGGGCGGCCTCGCCGAAACCTGGCTGCTATTTGGATGGATGTTTAGACTGGATCTTGGGAAATGTGTATGTTTCTCACTAATCTGCCAGTAATGCTACCGACACATTGCGTGCGGGAAGCAACAAGTTACATTATTTGCCAGGCGGACTAGCTGCCACACAGTCCGGGATCCGAATCCACAACTCATTATTTCCTGGTTGGCCAAGTTGAGGTTACCCTGCTTTGAGGCGGGCTTACCTGAAAACCAGCCGAGGACAGCGCGCGGGTCTGGGAGCTGCAGACGCGCGCGGAGCGTCTTCTGCGGCGGAGGCTGAAAGGCCTGGCGCTGAAGGGCAGGCTGCTGGAGGCCAACAGCTCCCTGCAGGAGCCGAATTCGTTCGCATGAGGCTCGGAGGTTCAGCAGAACTTGTGGATTCATTCAGGGCGAAGCTGAAGCTCTAAAAATGGAATCCCCAAAATGGCACCTATGGAAAGAACGACGCTGCGGTTTGAGTCTGCATGTTTTTTTTTTGGGGGGGGGGAACATAAGGGACCCTGAACCCTTGGAAACGAGGACCCCTTGTGATTGTCTTGGCTTCCAATGGTGGATCAGAAGGCCTGCCTTGTGGATGACATATGTTTTTTGTAAAGTTGTCCAACCTTTGAGAACCGCAAAGCCAACAAATTGGGAGGTCCATGAGGTTTCAGCAAATGGCGGACCCCCGGACACCCAAATCAACCTGCCAGGAGGCGGGCGTGTTTCATGGTTCCGAGCTGTCTGCCTTCGTGGAGGGTCCGCAGATGCAGCGTACCAGTGGCGCCTTCGCGCTTCTGCGCGCGGATGGCGGAGTAGTGACCTGGGGCCGCGCGTGTCCGCGCGATGGTCTTGGACATCGTGGCGTGGTGGCGCAGGCTTGGTTGTTTGAAACAACGGGTTTCCCGAGGGAAAACTACACGGGTATGTGTTAAAATGGAGGTGACCTTTTTGACGTTGTTGTTATCAGTTGATTTCCCTTTAAACCAACCTGAAAAAGGTGGTTCTTGTCTCGTTTCTATCCCAAGTCTCAGTTTTCGAACGCGGATTTTTATCGTTTCAGTCGTTTGGGTCCGACTCGACCCTTGCAGAGGGCGCGGAGTTTCGTGAAGCGAGCCTAATTGCAGGCAGCGAGCAGAGCGATCAAATATAAGCAAACTCCACTCAGCACTTTGAGAGGGTACCGAGCAGCCTGTGGAACAAGCACCGCAAACGAGGAAAGGTCTGCGTTATCGGTAGGGGGGGGTCCGAAGATTTTTGCAATTTTGGCATGAGCTTGCTTGAGTTGCAGTCAAAACTTTTGACTGAACCCAACGCCACGAGGAAGAGAGTTGGGCAGCCCCCTGTCGGCCGTCAGTGTTTCGAGGTTAAATCGGGGGTGCGATCGGTTTTGCAGGCTGTTGCTTATTTCGCTAACCACTTGCTCACTTGAGCAAGTGCTTCAGAGCAGAGCCTCCAACCCGCAAGCGCAACTTCACAATGGCGCCGGCCTGTTTGCCTTTCGTTTTTGCGAGAGACTTCTCAGGCAAGGACACCCTGGCGCACACCTCGGCTCGGCAAGATTATCCTAGCTTTTCTCCTAGGTTTTCACGAGCGTACTCGCCGCGTGTAGTTGCGATCGCCCAATCAACAAACTAAGCTCCGCCCCACTCAAGCTAAATGAAAGGGCGCCCTGAGGAAGGAGCAACAAACCGAGCAAAGTGGTTGATAAGCGTCAAACCCCACCTAAATCAAGCACCTGCTTTTTCCCTTTCGCAAAATTACACAAGCTTGGATACACCGCCTATGTCAACTGGTTCAGGGCTTTGTCCTCCGCAACAGCGTTCTTTTTGCACTTTTTTCTTCTGGTTTAATTTGCACTGAAAAAGCCCTATGAACATTCAGACCCCTGCCCTGATAAGAGAGTGCATCAGGAGATGTGGTGGATTGTCTCAGGATAGGCTAACACGCTTGTTTGGCTCTCCAGTTTCTAGGAGATTAGTTAGCATTCATAGCCTGTTATTTGGTGCATTTACATTCAGGGCCCTCTATATTTTATGAGGGGAGGGACTGGACTGTCCTCTGAAGGATCCCCTTTGAAACATTCCTAGCCACACGATCTCGACTGCTATTGGGTTGGATTTTGAGACTTTAACTTTTGGGAAATCAAGGGTTTGTTTTCACTAGAAGTGGAAATACCCGCACTCTTTCTCAAATAAATGCATACCCACAGGGATGGCAATACACTTCGTGTGGGCATTACATCATGATAACTTTGCGGTTACTTGCATCTACGGGAATCGATAGGACATAGGAGTTCCCTTCAGTAGGGCATTCCTTCCGTGAACTGCGGACCTTGCATGGATTTGGCTCAAGAAAAAGCGCGCTCCCCGGGTCGGGTCGATTCCCTTAAAAGGTCCCGGTGGGTGTTTGGCTTTGCAATTGTTTTCTTGTGAGAGGGGAATAGGTTAGTGTCTTGTTTCGTTGCCGCCATTGCACCTTGACAAGTTTTGGGTTTGAGGGACTTTCACGCCGCGAACTTCAACTGGAACTTATATTGGAATCCTGATCGGACGCTTGATAACGTTGCTACAGGGTACCACTTGCAAGTTTCTGCAGGTTATCAGCCGTACAGCTCGAGGCGGCGGTGAATATCAGACCTTACAACTTTCTTGAGAAAGTGTATGCACAAGACTCAACGATCCCAACGCAGAGGACGACCGGATAGGACTTGCGTACGAGGCGCTTTTTCAGAACGCGTTGGAATGGGTGGAGGAGGTGCAGACAGAACAGGCAGACGACGAGCTGGAAGAAGTAGAGATCGAGACAGAGGTACATCCTTGGCGTGCAGACGGATCAACGAGTGGCAATCACAGCTTCGCTTGGTTCAGGACGTCACAGGACGAGAGTCGTTGGTGTTTGGCGGAGTTGGACGCTTTTCAGGATCAGCAAACTGGAAGATCCGGTGATTCTTGAATTGGCGAAACAACTAAACACCCCTGACGTAGCAACAAACTCGCTCGTGGAGGACATCAGCTCAGACGTGGAAAGACCTGAGGTTGTTCTAGTGCCAGCGCCATCAGTCAATTCGCGGCCTTTGGTGATATTGGATTACCACAACACCCTGGAGCATTTCGGGGTGATTCCGACACCTGTGGTGGAGGCGGTGAGGCGGCTGGAGGATACGGGGGTTGCCATCAGGTGCCTGTCGTACGTGGGCACAGCATTTCGGGAGCACACAACTCGAGACGCGTGGGTGGCAGGACCATTGTCACACATACCTCTGGAATTCGTGTATCGCAAATCGTGGCGTTCAGCACGCCGACGAGACGGGCGCCCGGACAAAACAAAAGCACAGAGGGTCCTGGAGCTTGGAGCAACTGCATTGTGCGACGACGCCCGGGACATCTTGGACGAACTGCAAGAGCGGTGGAACAGACTTTTGGATCCGAGGCAAGCCCCGTGGGCGATACAGGTGAAGAGCGCTCACTCTGCAGCAACGAGCATCCAGCTGCTGGTGGAACGGATCCGAGCTGCAAGGACATTGCAAAGCGACGGAGAGCGCAGCAATTTGTGGCTTGCGATCGCACACCGCTCAGGCGAGTGATATAGGGTGGAGTGGAAAAGTCAGGACCGCCAGCAGGGGTATATGCAAGAGGAGAGTCCCAAACGCTTAGGTAAAGAAAAGGGTGGTGACTCAGCCAGGCAAAGGCTAGGTTTAACAGCCCATCGTAAGACTCATTAAGTCGCTGTATGGTCATCCGGAATCAGGCGCGCGCTGGCAGAACCATCTAGAAGAGGCAGTACGCAAGTTGGGGGGAAAGACCCTTCAACATTCTTCTTCAAGCAGCGGGACCTGGCCTTGACAGTGTACGTGGATGATCTCTTGTTATCTGGCAGGGGTGAATCACACGAAACATTCTGGCAAGAACTAGGTAAGTTGATTGAAATAGAAGACATAGGAGGACTTGGTATGTTTTTGGGGAGACACCATGAGATCGTTGAGACTCCTGATGGACTTGGGGTAGCTTTCAACATACGAGAGTACATTCGTTCTGCCGTGGACATGTACTTAGGTATTACTAAGCAGCAACGACTCAAAGGTGCGGCAACCCCTTTTCTGCCAAAGAAATCCATCCTTCCAGACGAATGGGAGCAAGAGGGACAGCTACAGACGCATGCGTGTGCAATTCTCATGAAATTGCTATGGGGGGCAAGGCTTGGTAGACCGGACATGCTTAAAGCCATAACTTTAGCGTCATACGTGAGCAAGTGGTGTAGGGCCTGTGACAGGATGTTACACCGACTCCTGTGCTATGCGCATCACTCTGTAGACTTCACTCTGGTGGGGCAGATCACCGACGTTCCAGCAAATGTGTGGTTGGAGTTGTACGTAGACGCTGACTTTGCAGGAGACAGTGACTCAGCACTAAGCACCCGTGGGGGTTGGCTAAGGGTAGCCGGGTCCAATGGAACTTCGTGGCCACTGAGCTGGATCTCTAAGAAGCAGACTGCAACCAGCCGGAGCACAACTGAAGCCGAAGTGATCGCAATGGCCTACGGGCTATGCATTGCCGATGATGACACTGTGGGGTCACATGCTAGGTAGAGATGTTGACTTGATCATCTATGAAGATAATGAGGCAACTGAGAAAGTTGTGCGATCAGGGTTTAGCCACAAGTTGCGGCATATCACTCGCACACATAAAGTTAACCTCTCATCTTTAAAAGAAATAGTAGATCAGCCAGACGTGACTCTCCAGCACCTTTTGTTTTACAAAAGGTGTTGAGGCACACAAGTGGGCCAACGCGATCCACCTCCTTGGTATATCCGCAGTAGTGCCAAAATCAGTAGAAGCCAATATGACTGGATTCAAAATGGATTCGGCGCCGCAGGTACAAACTAAAGTAAGTGACTCAAGATGTGTGAAGGACCCTGCTGGCGCCATACCAGCAGAGGAGCCACCCGCTTGTGTTGAACCTGCCAATACAAAGAGAAAGAAGAAAGCCAAGAAGAAGAAAACGTCTTGATAACTTTGCGGTTACTTGCATCTACGGGAATCGATAGGACATAGGAGTTCCCTTCAGTAGGGCATTCCTTCCGTGAACTGCGGACCTTGCATGGACTTGGCTCAAGAAAAAGCGCGCTGCCCGGGTCGGGTCGATTCCCTTAAAAGGTCCCGGTGGGTTTTTGGCTTTGCAATTGTTTACTTGTGAGAGGGGAATAGGTTAGTGTCTTGTTTCGTTGCCGCCATTGCATCTTGACAAGTTTTGGGTTTGAGGGACTTTCACGCCGCGAACTTCACGTTGCTACAGGGCACCACTTGCAAGTTTCTGCGCTAGACCCCGAAAAAGTTGCACTTTTTGCAGGGGGTCAACAGCAACCACGCGATAAACCCGCTTTTGTCGGGGCTCCCGAAACGAGACGCGAACGAGCGGCGGCTCCGGGAGGTCCAGGCAACGCCTCTGGGTGCCTTCGCGGCCATCCACCGGGCGGGCGGCGTGAGCACCTGGGGCACCGGCGGGGGGGCCGACTGCAGCCAGGTGCGCGCGCAGCTGCGAGACGTGCGAAGGACAGGGCTAGGGGTTCCCTTCAAGAAGCGTTCCCTTCAAGAAGCTATACAGATGTGTGTGTATTTATGTATGCATACACATATATACATATAAATGCACAAATATGCTTGGCGGAGGGGGGAGAGAATTCACAGCATCTCATGATGCAACAGCTATTCACAAACAAGCGGACGTGTCTTACAACAGGGGAGCTCTCAACCAAACAGATGTGCTTTGAAATCGGGAAAACCTTATTAAATTTACCACTCAGTTCATGAGGTGAATGTGTAGACATGTATATATATACACATATAAATACGTGCATGAGGTTCGGGACCCCCTTCAGCCTAGTTTCAACGGAATCTGAAAGGAAGACCAACCGATTTTAGGGTTCTTATTTTCCAATATATATATATATATATGTATGGTATACAAACAACAAATCAAATATGCGTGTGTAGAGGTTTTTCTTGATAAGCTCAGGAGCCTACGTTGGCCGGAGGCCATCAACCAGGCCACCGGCCCTAGCCCGGTAAGCTCCGTGACTGTTTTTGTCAGCCCATGGGCCAGACTCTGTGTTGAAGTTTTCCTTGGGAACAGATGGGCAGAAACTAGCACTTTCTTCCACGATACTGCCCCACCCACCCAGCCCCCACGTGACGACGCTACCCGGCTGAGCGACGGCGACTCGCTTGCGCGGGTCGTGGTTGAGCGACGGCGAACATAGGCTCCTCAAGATGTACAATTATTACATATATATATATATATATTATGTCTATAAAAACACAACTTAAGGGTTCCTTGAAGGATCCAGACCTCTCAGAGCGCCTTTGCCGCGCTTTGTGGCGACGGGTCGGTGATTTGCTGGGGCGACCCCGATCGCGGCGGGGACTGCAGCGAGGTCCAACATGAGCTGCGAAACGTGCAACAGATCCAATCCACCTGGAATCACTGCCAGATTCAGCTTACTTGTTTGAATGATTTGTGGTTTTTCAGGTCTCCGCCTTTAACCTCCAAATCACCTTTCAGGGAAGCTAAATATTTTTCCCTTCAGCCAGCAAAAGTATTACTTTTTGCAGGGGCCCGGCTGGCCCAGGAGCGCTTTTGCTGCCATCCGCGCAGATGGAAGCGTGGTAACCTGGGGCGATCCTGGGCAGGGAGGTAATTGCGCTGAGGTGCGGCACAAGCTGCGCAAGGTGAAGCAGATCCAGTCGTCCTGGGGAGCTTTTGCTGCGATTCTAGAGGACGACAGTGTCTTGGTTGCTAAGATCGAACCTCTGAACCTTTTGGACGATGACCTTTGAACATAGCCAGGAAGTTGCGCTTGATCGCTTCGAGCAAGGTGTGGTGACCTGGGGCGATCCCGACAGAGGCGGCGACGGCCATGGGCAGGTGTACATGGTGAAGGAGATCCAGTCGGCGCCAAGCGGCTTTGCAGCTATCCTCAAAGATGGCACCGTGCGGACCTGGGGAGAAACATCAAGTGACTGCAGCAGGATTCACGAGCAGCTGAGGGACGTGTGCCGGATCCAGTCATGCTGGCGAGCCTTTGCTGC